GTGATGAATAATTGAGACCTTCCACCTCTATGGTGATGTTCATCATGACTTTCGGTGCGAGATAGCTTAATAGCTGAAGCGCTAGCAAACATTTGGCCACTAAACCAACCAACCAACCATCATATGGTAACATAATGCAGCATCAGAGCCACGGTAGAAATCTCCCACTCGCGTCTATTCCTTTGGCGACTCGTCTCAAATTTTTTTAATTGCATTTTTACAACACTTCTCTTTAAGTTCACTTCTTGTTTGTCCGTCTGTCTGTCTGCTACAAATCTTATAATCGAAATTTAACACACTTCTACTTATCCTATCGATCTGAAATTTTGCACCCTTGGGTAAAGTTGGAGACAATACAAGAATCAAATGACAAAATAAATGATTTTAAAAATTAATTTTTTTTTCAATATTAGAAAAATTGAAAAAATAATTTTGTCAGCTACAAATCTTATAACTGATATTTGACACACTTTTACCTATCCAATTGATCTGAAATTTTGCACACGTGTGCGAAGTCGGAGGCAATGCATGAATCAATTGACAGAATAAATAATTTTGAAAAGAAAAAAAAAGTATATATTTAAAAATAAAAATTAATTTTTTTTAATATTCGAAAATAAAATGAGTAATTCATTGTACATCTTTAACATTGGAGACACTGGATTCTTTAGAAGTGTTGTCTTTAAAAAGTAATTTTTAAACGTATATTATTCTGTTCACTTTGTTTATGTGTATATCTATCACAAATAGCAGCAGCTTGCAAAGAATTTAGGCTATCGGGCACTGAAGAATCGTACATCCATAGTCCATGCCAAAATTTTTTGTGTCAGTATTATTTATACAAAATATCTCAATGCGTTGCAGAAAACAACAATCTTTTGCGTCAAAAATTAATCATAAATTTTAGGTTTGCACAGGTTGTTGCTCTCTTTTCATAGAACTCGATAGTAATATGGCAAAGAAAATTTTCTTGTATTCAAATTTTGTGTTTAATATTTTAACTTGAACAACTTTCTGTCTTCTATCTCATCTTTATCTCATTATCTCATCTTTATCTCATTATCTCATCTTTATCTCAAGTTTGAGCACGACATGATCTCACCATCCTGCTACTGCAGATCTCACTATTTAGCAGCTGTTCACTGTGTAGCAGCTGTTCACTGTGTAGCAGCTGTTCACTGTGTAGCAGCTGTTCACTGTGTAGCAGCTGTTCACTGTG